ATATCCGTAGAATTACATGGTTTCCATGGAGTAGTTTAAATAATAGCGCGCCGTAACTCTAACATCATCTTCTAATATTAACGAGATTACGTCTAGACGCATGTGTGTGTACAGTTAGTAAAGTGCAATAATGAATGCGGTGCAGATCCGGTAATTGAAGTTAACTGTTCAAAGTCGTGATCATTAATTATATCAGCGGAGAGACCGATAATGATTTTGACCCAATTAATTGCTCCAACAGGATGATTTGCAGCACGCGCCGCATCAGCAGAAAAAGACGTACGCGTTTAACGTAACGGATAAAAATAAATGGAGCGTTTGTATCCGTAATTACAGGCCACAGCCAGTGCTCTTGTAACCAAATGTATGTCAACATTAATTATTCTTTTTGGAAAAACGCATATGCAAACATATCTACATTTATCAAATGTAATCGTTATTAAATATTTATGATAGCTATACAAAAATTGTAATAAACATAAAAACATTTTGAAATATCATAAATAATTTATATAAAAATTTATTTTATGACTAATATATTAATAAATATAATATTTATCTAAAAATTTATATCTAGATTTACATATTCAAAAATTTTGAAAATCGTGAACAATCCGAAACGTTAAATATGGTCTATCCAATCTTTCAGTTTCATACAAGATAAAGATTTTACTGTATAAATTTTCAAAAGAGATATAAGTATGCCTAGAAATAAAAATATGATTTTAATAAAATATGATTTTAATATAATTTTAATAAAAAGATTACTTATTTTCAAGCAATTAATATTAAAACTGTTATAAAATATTATTGACTATTATTATTATTGAATATTATTGATTATTATTAATATTATTAATTATGTTGAATTTAGTCTATTTTTTTTAATTTATATCAATATAATACAACTTTTCTCAGGAGATCAATCACAAAAGTATATGTTTCTTATGTCAAAGATTTAATTGAATCGTCATATTTATTATAATCCTCATGTATGAAAATGTCATCCAGCATGAATATAGTATATACAAGTTTCAAATCTAATCCAATTGTCTCTTCTTCATAACATTATTACTTTAGCCTTGATTAAAGTTCTCTTTATCGATCTCAGAATCTTGGCTCACTCTTTAGCGATATCTTGCTTTTACTTTGTTGTATCTCTGTTACCCACTCAAAGTTAGTTCGAAGCACGCGACAAGAAAACAATATCCCTGTTCGTGTCTTTCATTCACTCTCGAAGAGCTTTTCTAGAATCGTGCTAATCTTTAACAAGGGAGCCCTACACCCTGTAACGCATTGTGCAAGATCTTACTGCTTCTGTGCTTCGTAGAGCAAGTTTTGAACTCGGTACAACTTCAGTTAGCTTTAGACTTTTTGGCCTCTGAATGCTACGAACGAAATTTATTTATATCCGCGCATGCCACTTCACATACAACAACGAAGTTCACGAAGTCATGTTATTATAGCAAAATGAGGACTAAAAAAAAAAGAGATATTCTAGTGAGATTTGGGTTATCGAGAGACTGTGATAATACAAATCCGGCTGTCAAATATTTAATAAGTTTGCGAAAAATAACGTAGAAAAATCGACCGAAAAATGACGTAAAATGTTTGATGAGATAACAAGTTGATGAAAGAATATAGTGATGAAGTTTCCAAGACTTCCATTGCCTTTCATATTCATGTTCAAAGTTGTGAAACGCAAAAGTGGAGGGAAAAATATTGCTAGGTTGAGGTGCGCTTTATAGCGGGTAGGTTGATTGTGTGTGCGTAAAGTGGATACAAGGGTCTCCATGGAGTAATGTATGGCGGCGTGGTTTTTATGCGTCTGCGAATGAATCAGTAAAGGCATTTTTAGTAACGCGAAGTGATAATAAATTATATACACGAACCCGACACATGCAGGTCTCGGGAGATATGTTCGTGATAAATTCGATGGATAATCGTGGCCGCTGTGTGTTATGCATAAAAGCTATATCTTTTTATTTCATTCCGCGCGCATCAGTCTATTGATTATTTGGCATTAATTATTTATCCCGTTGCAAAACAAAAAGGGACCAGGTGTACAAATGACTCACAATGTTCCTCTAATGAAATTATAAGTTTTATTTAATTTCATAATTGCATTCATCCCTCTTATGAGTTATTTTTATCGCACCGAAAATGTCGCTTTGAAAATGTTGGGTTTACCGAGATAAACGTGTCATTTAACGCGTTTTAACTTTCGGTGGACTTTTAATGACATTGCCCGAATTAATTATTTCCTGTGCGATCGAATATTCCGCAAGTAATGACCAACGCATCACTTTTCCGAGAACACGCGGTGTAAGCCACGTCACGTAGTTTTGAAGTGCAAACCTCTGTCACGGGCGATGAGCACGCGTCCTCTAACCCACTTACAAGTTAAGACTTCAAGCTAGATTAGCTGCTCCAAAATATACTCTAACCCACTGCTGCTTTCGGAGCTACTTTAAATTCGATTGAGAGAGATAAAAAAACCTAATTACATATTAATATAAATGCTATATGTGCATTTTCCAATATGAATTATACAGATGCTATATCTCCAAATATTAGAAATAATAACTTGAAATTAATATCATATATTTCATTTATTTGATGTTATCAAAACGGAGAAAGTCAGCACGATTAATAAATTTAATTATATTATTATTTCCAATCCAATGAAATGGTACAATTATGCATATTTATTATTAGTTTATGTATTAATGTATTAATAATATTAGTTTATGTATTAATGATGTTTATGTATTAATAATAATTAATTAGAAATATTATTTGCGTTTGTTGCAGGACGATTTCTGATCTATCAAACGGGAATCACAACGGGTAAGACGCAACAGACTTTGAAAATTTAATACTGCACGAGGAGAAAATTAAATTAAGATTTGCTTACGTCATGCGCACACATTAATATAGCATATACAATTTCAATGTTCCGCATGTTTAAAGGTAACGTGCAAGCTCGCAGCTTTTATGCGAGCTTTACGAGCAACACTTTTATTCGACAATTCCGTTCGAGTGAAATTCGCACTCTGAAACGCGATGAAAACTCGACAACGAGAGCTGGAAAGATTCACGACGAAACGTCGGGGAGACATTCCCGTGTTACGCAAAAATCTCGCGCGAACCACAGAGGAGAAAACAAAGTGGATTACGCGTCATGTATACTTTCGCTATTAAGACGAGAGTTTATTCCAGACGGTCTAATGTCGTAAGTTTACAGAGGACCTTCCTCGGAAGAGGCGGGGTGCCTTCGGCTGTTAGGTATAGGTGTCAACGTTATAGGTGGTTCTTTTCGCCAGGGCTTTCTCCGCGCGCGTCTTACGTTCTCCTCCGTTTCTCGAAGGAGCTCAGAATGTCCGTGTATTTCTCTCCTCCTGCGGCTCTTCCTACCTTCTATCCTATCCACCGCGCAATGCCCGAAGGTATGTTGCAGCTTACAGTCTCACTGTTTATCTTCAGCCGTGAGCTTTTGTGTTTGCACAAGCTCCCTGGCACTACCAACCGCCGCGTATCCACATCGACCTCGTCCTTCGCGGCCTGCCCCGTGCAAGGCGAACTACCGTGGTCCTCTATTTATTTAGTTTTTTTCTCGGAGAGTTTGTGGATCCTGTAGAGGAGAAATGCTTAATTGCCGTAAGTGTCCGCGCCGTTGCACAGACCTTGGAAACGTTTCTTGACGGAGTCTCACCGCGGATTTTTTGCAATTCTAAAGGTTGAAATTTATGGCGGACGTAACGAGCGTGAATTTATCCGAATGAATTTATTTTAATACTTTCGCGTTCGCGATTCTCTATTTTATTTAATATTCTCTTAAAAATGTATTATTATTCGGTTGAATAAGTCCGATACGCTTTGCGATTCACTTTCATATTTTTCTATCGCACTGCGGTATGAATTTTCACGGGTTGAAATTTTTTTAATCTTTTTATTATATATTCGTGCATTTCTCTCTCTCTCTCTCTCTCTCTCTCTCTCTTTCTCTCTTTCTTTCTTTTTTTATATCCATATTAATTGGAAGTGACGCTAAAATATTCACGGTATATCGTCGAGTACACAGCCATGTCAGTTGAAAACATGTCTAACAGTCCGGCGTGAATGGATATTAGAAAAGTTTTGGCGAAATTCCGCACATCAATGAGTGACATCGCTGGCGTTGCGGTTTCACGTTAAAAGAAACGTCTAAATTACTCGCGATAGCATCGAATTCAAAACCGGACGCGACGCGCACGAGTTAGCGCGGGTTAAAAAGTACGAGTGCGGATACCGCGGGCGATGTTCCGTGGTGGTAGTTTTTGCAATTAGCGATATCGGCTACGTCATCCGACACGTTCGGTCGGCCGAGCGACGCGATGCACCGGCTGGCGCGGGAGTGCGCACTTCGCAGAGCGTCGTCGGTACGCCTGGCGTATCGCCAAATTTCCAGCTGACCCACACCCTCTTTCTCTTTCCCTTTTCCTGCATACTCGCCTCTGCACCCGTCCTACTACCCCCTGCTACCACCTGCCTGCCCCGTCGACTCCCGCGCTGTATATATATCGACGCCCAGGGCCATGCGCGTTATCAAACGATTTATATCGGTGTTTTGCAAAATTTGTGGAGTCGAGGCTTGCGACTGGCACAGGGTGCGCGCCAGTCCCGCTCGGGGAATGCATTAAACGTTAACGGCGAAAATGGATAACGAGGGAGGCGGCGATAGTGTGTGGCGCGGCGCCGGCAAAGGGCACCTCCATGCATCGCCATGAGCCAAAAGATACCGTCGCGGCGTGTTATCGAGTTTAATCTAGGCTCGTTAATAACCTTTCGCTTTTGTGCGCGCGTACGCCGCAGAGAGATCTGGGGCTGTACGTGCGCTTCCACGCGCTCATTCGCGGCCAGTCGGGACTCGGGATTTATGCCTGTCCTCGATAGCGCACGCCGTAACGCCAAAGTCCGGAAACCACGCCTCGCATTTACCGTTAAAACCGCGCCCGAATCGTAGTCTCGTGATCTCGATGCCACTTTTGGCTATCCGTCTTCCTTGTGGATGGACGCACGTTTCGCTCTCGACGCGAAACGAACGCCGCTGACACGACCGTTCGCGATAACGTCCGCGAAAATATTCATCCCGTTACCGTAAGTCTTGGGGAAGAGTCGCTAGAAAATCCTGATCCCGAATTTCCTCGGCGTCCCGCGGTAGCAGCAGGAGAGATTCAACGGAAAATGGGACGGTACGTTTCGCGTTAAGAGAAGTTCCAGGCCGTCGGGGGATACGAGTCGGCGACGGCGGCTTAGTCCCGAAGTGATTGCGTAAAGGGCGCAGCTGCAGGCACATTCGAGGATTCTTTGGGGAATCTGGGCGAGCACCGTCGCCGGAATAACGTTGGAGAACAAAGAGCGGAGTAAGCTAAAATAATTGCCAATTACAAAACCGAGCTGGATATTAACATTATCTTGGGGAGGCACCGCAACGGACTGCACCGACGTTACCTGCAGCTGCAAGACGATGAGTTTCTTTGTGAGAATGTTTTTCCGCTTCTCTCCGCTCGGGAAATCTCGAGGTGGAGCAGTTGCCGCATGCGTTTTCTTCTGATAACCGACTGTGCCACCGTCGAGATAAAGAAGATCGTCCGCCTACGAAGAGAGGAGCGCGGACATCCGCTATGAACAATTATTACTACGGCTCGGAGCTTTCAACTTTTGAATATCGTTATAACGTGATTTTATCTGCGAGTAATGCGGAGAAATTCGCTAATGCAAGAAACGGGAAATGAGTCTTGAAAGCGCACACCCGCAAACGCGCGGATATGAAACGAGTATTGCGCGTTTAATCCTGTTACATACAAGATCCGATTAAACGAAATGAGATGTAGCAGATTTATAGTAATATAAGCGTAATTGCGTAACGTGAAAATCTACGAAGAAATAATTTAGCTTCTTTCATTAGTCATGTAACCGCACATTTGACATGGTAAATAAATTTCATATAGATATAATATATAATTTTAGTTTATGACATTTGAAGAATTTTTTTTTCAATAAAAATCGTGACAATCTTTATGCTACAAAACTGATTTAAAGCAATAGCACAATTGCTACCACTGCGCTCTTTACCGTGCAGCAATCTATCAGGAAAATTTTCAGCTGGGATTTGTTTCTTTCTCCGATCTCTTCTTGCTCTCAAGCGTATAATCCTTAACCAGAGTCAAACCTTCGATTCAGCTATTCGCGCAAGAGAAATTTCTGATTAAGTCATATTTATTAAATTTGCTCCGATTTAACTTTCATAGATGTATGAAACTCCTGCCTTTAACGGTAATGGAAAAAAAATTACAAATGACGCGATACGAAATGATTGTATTCATCGTGTTCAAGCAATTACCAGACAGAATTCCGCATAGTTGTACCGGAACAGTTCTGTCACAAATAAATATGAACGACGGGGAAATAACGAGATTCCTCAACCGCAATTCTACGTTGCTAGCCATTATTTTCCATTAATCCTCTATGGCAGGAAAAATCCGACCCCGGATTGAAGAGTCACTCGTCTTTCTCATTCGGATTTCCGAGACAATCGTGCCTCGATTTCATTCAAGATAAAGGCAGAGAAGTAAGCACAAAAAGAAGCCGTACCGTTCGCAGGTCCCTTTCCCGTCCGTAGACTTGGTAGCCTAAGGTTGTTCGGAAAAGGCGTTTGTATTAATTAAAACGTAATTAATCAGAATTAAATTGACTCGGTCGGGTAGGAAGGGCGGATATGCGACGACGAAGGAAATTGATTGGTGGAAATGAAAGAAGAATAGCATGGTGGCGGCAACTTTTCTCAACGGATCGTCCACTAATTCCGCGTATTTTCGCAATTTCGTCATTCCAAATCGAGAACAATGTAAATATTTTACGAACATTCAATTAGTCTAAGAAAGAAGTATGGAATTCATTCAAGTGTTTCTTTGAAAATTAAACTTCAACTTTCAAATTATTTTCTTTCAAATTAAACTTCACTTTGCTGCTTATATATCTAGATCGGAAACTAAGCATGTGAAATATGCATGTGAAACAGCGTTTATGTTTTTTATATTGAAATTCTTCGAAATTGATAGGACGTGAAATTATCTTTTCTGCAGTTATATCGACGTGGAGCGAGACATTTCCTGTGCCAGTCAAATATTCCGAAAAAAATGTTGGGAAAAAAGGGGCAAAAGAAAATTTTGATTCGCGCACTTTTACATCGGTTTGTAAAATTGCGCCAGTGTGATTTCCCAGTTGTTGAAAGACTGCGGACATGCAGTTTTCTGTGTAAAATTCAAGATGTACGACATCACAACATAGTGTGGGTACAATCGCTGAAGCATTTATAAAGTTCTTTCAAATGTTCAGTCCATGGACATTTTAAGAGTCGACCGACTTGCGAGCGGTTCTTACGTCGGTCTACATTGGAAAGTTCAAGACTAACTACAGCGAAACTATTCAACATTTTTTTCCCGTTAATTAAATATCGTTCTTGTAATGGAGTTAAAAGAGTCGCGGCACTTTAAAATGTTAAATGGGAATTGGGTCACAAACGTACCGTTAAACTCGTTTTTTTTCCATTACTTTCCATAAACGCGTTTGGTCGATGTTCAGTATTTTCATTTATTTTCCAAGCGTTTGCGAAACATCGTTGTGGCCGAAACTTGGCATTGCTTTCCGATGGCTTTTTTTTTAACAAACAGCTGTTGACAGCTCAGCGACCTGCTACTAGTGAATTTAATCCTCCACACATTCCTCTGTCAGCGGTTGCAAATGTTAAGCATATCAAAATCAATGTTTCGTTAAAATTCCGCGAATTCGTTGCAAATAGTGACGCA